CAAACAATACTATAGTCTCACAGGAAATCCTAACAACACTTCAGCTTGAATCACCTCTGTCAGTACTGCACATCATCTGTTTGGGGGTTTTTATCCAAACCCCTTGTTCTTTATTAATAGGATCATTTGTCTGAAAACCTGTTTCTTAAGAGTTTGTCCATTCATTCTGCACCTGAAGTCATAATCCTTTGTTTGCAATCTTACAACTGGTTGCTGTGGAAATCATTATGATGTCACAAAAAATAAGGATTAGTAAAACTGCAAGTAGGGAATAAACAATTTGAACAGATGAACTGTTAAAAAAGTTTTACTGCAAGTATTCACAGAAATAAAAAAAAAAAAGGAAAACAAAAACTTTCCTCCAGACCTGATCTATGACATATGTTCACACAGTGCTGACACAGACCAGGGAGAGAAAAATTTTCCTTCATGTCTTTTGGTCCAGGGGCAACAATCAGAAGATCTACTGGCTAGGAATATATTTGCTGTGTTTTGATAAGATACAGAACCCAGGACCTTACTTTAAAACTACTGTAAACCTTATGCTTCTCTCTTTCTAAAAACAGAACAAAACAACTATTCTGTGGCTAATCTATGGACGGATAATGTTTTCCTCTGGAAAACAATGCATTTAGCCAAGTGGTAAAAATAAGCTCTTTGATGGACTTCAGATTAAATTAGAACTGACTCCTCACGATGTCTACCTGCTGCAACATCCATCAGAACAACTGGGACCCACACATCTTTGCCATGAAACAGCCTAAAGCTCAGAGTGAACTCTCTCTCTTAGGCAAGTCACATGGGTGCAGTAAGCCACAGGATACAGCCAAGTTGGCCAGCTGCAGGGTCAACATGGCTGCACAGGCATAAGCTTTCAGCTGAAACTTTTGCCTGATAGGGCCTGAGCAAGGACCTTTCCCATCAGATCACTGACCACTGTGACCTCCCTGTCGCAGTCTGGCAGCAGCCATTTGCAGCAGTGGAGAAGCAGATCCATCAGTCAGCTGCAGCAGGTGAGGTCAGAGCAGAGGAGAGAGGTTGTGGCTGTATGCATGATCAGTATGGGGTGTGCAGCCCACGCACAGGGGAGCACTTCCCCTCTGCAGGCCTAAAGTGCTGTGGGCAGCAGAGATCCCAGAGCTAAGTGTGCTCTGATTGCCACCCAGAGCTCCTTGATCACGGCTGGCCATGCCAGCTCACACTCCCCTGATGCAATGACAAGCTGCCCCTCTCTTGCACAACACAGAAGTCATTGCACATACGTGGGATACCTCAACAAGAGCAGTAGAGATAAAGAATAGTAGAAGTTGTCTAATACCTTTATAGTTGATCCTGTTACAGGCACAGATCAATGCTGTTTTCCCATTTTCACAGTCCATCCATGTGCTGCCCCCAGGTTCTTCCCCTCACAGGCATCCAGTAGGACTGCCAGGAGCAAAACAAGCAGAGTGTTTGGATAGACTTTTGTCCCCTGATTCTGTGTAACACAGCAGAAACACAGATGAAATTGCCTTTCATTTTTGTTTAAGACAAAGAGCAGCAGATTCTCAGCACAAGGGGTAAAAATCCACTTAATAATAGGGAGAAATCTCTTTCTCTCAGAAGCAAAGAGCACACACAGTGCTGGGATGACATCTGGTTCTCACTAAGACTTTCCAGAATCAAGGCTCTTAGTCCTCCTGCCTTGACTTAGCACTGAGTGAGATGGGCAGTTAAAGCAAAGCTGGGGCAACTCTACTATTCCTTTCCAGGTCTGATCTACCACAAAAGAAAACCTGTAAGTAGTCAAAGCTCAAATACCTGCCCTTTCACCACTGTTGACGAAGGAAGTACACTTTGGTGGCATTTTCAGTCATTGAAATATTTGAGATACAACAGGCTCAAATATGTTGACAGGTATAGCATAAAAGCATCTAAATTTTGTTTTGAAAGGTGCCTGGTGGTTACATCATCCAACCTTCTAGTCAAAACTAGGCTGACTTCTAAATCAGAAGTCGGATCAGGTTGGCCTGAGCTTTCTTCAAGGAGGGAGATTGCTCAGCCTCTCTACAGAGCATGTCCCCTGCTTACCTCTTCTATGGTGGATTTCTTCTCACTACATGGGAATTCTCCCTGCTAAAAGTTGTGGCCCTTGCCCCTTGCTCTCTTATACCATGATTCTATTGGGGAAATGCCATGGACTCAGGAGACCATGCAAGCAAGGGAGAACCAAGTTCTGTTTCTGCTGGGAATTTGGCTTGTGCACAAATAACACCCTTCATTCACTTGCATCCTCAAAAGCCTCCATGGACTGTACATCATCCCTGCCTCCTACCAGGCTTAGAACAGGGAATGCTGATATCTTCTGAATAAGGGTGAGGAACCTGCATATAGGTACAACACATAACTTATTCCATTTTTCCACATGTCTTACAAATAATTGTTTGTCAAGGTTTTACAAACACAATGTATTGATGTTCTATTTATATTGCAGATCACTAATTTTAAGAGGTTACAAACACTCTGCACATAGAACTGGTAAGGCAATCCTTTGGTGAAAAAGTGAAAATTGCAGAAATATTTAGCCTTGGAAAACAGGTTCTAAAATGTTCTTTAAGAGATACTTGCATCTTCTTATTGAAATCAATGTTTCAGCTGCACAAGTAACAACCACCAATCTGAAATAAGGAGACACCTTGCATTTGGTAGCTATTCAGTGCTCATGAAAGCTTTGCAACCTCCTTAATGGAAGACAGCTTTTTCCTTCATTAAACACATATCTGTAAAAACAACTCAAAAGACATCAAACACCAGAAAAAGCACATTGAAATAACATTAGAGATCTAATATAAATCCACAAAAGCCAGGAAATTCAGAGATAAAGAAAGACTTTCAGACAAGGGAAAACTTTCCAATGTATTAAACTGGAGCACAAATTCACTTCCTCTCTGTGCTTGCCATCAAGTCATTCCAGACACAGGGGGTAAGTTCCTCCCTGGGGTAACTCAAGTGCCTTCAGCACTGCTGCACCAAAAATCAGTTTGGCCCTCCAGAATTGTCTTATTACTTTCTCTGTTTCTGATAATTGCCATTGACTTGAGTTTAAACAGCAACTTCCTGTCTTACAGCTCATTTTCCCACTGTCCAGAGACTGTATTTGTGAGATTGCAATACTTTCCATGATTACAGACTATGATGTCAGCTGTGGGGTTATGACTTCACTGACAGACTGGCTAGAAGGAGAACCACTGTGCAAAGGAGAAAATCCACACTCAAAACCAAATATATCTGAGATTAGCAAAGACAACACTGCACCTCAGTGGGCATGGACATTTCCATCTGCACAAATAATACTCTCTAATTTTCACTTGAGCCAAGTATGAAAATGTCCCTTCAAATTTCTGGGTTTTTTATAAGTCATTCATGGTGCTGATGTGTTGCCACCCAAATTCAATCTTGATGTCAGTAGCAGCTTAAATCACAAGCTGTGGGTCCAACTCTTTGCACTTTCTGGAAATGCAAAATCACACATACAGCTTAAGAGGGGATATGAAGGGAATGAGGTGATTTTGAACTGCCTTCAAACTTCCCATGATTCTGCCCTCCTCCTCAAGCTGACATGGCTTTTGTCTCTGGGGTCTGGCTATTCTATCTCCAATAAAGCAAGACAACCATAATGAACTAGTTACTAGGAGACCCCCAGGTACCTGGCTCAGCAACAGAATCCAAACAGAATAATGTAACCGTATAAACTGTATCTAACCCAGGTACTAAGAGAGTTACCCTGAGCCTCCATATAGAGTGTAGCTGCCATAAACAAAAGAGCTTTACACATCACCTTTGTTTCTGAAAAAAGAAAAATTATTTTTCCTTTCTGTTTCCTAGACTGCAAGAGGAGGAGGGGCTATGATAGGCATGCAAAACAAGAAATGGAAAACTTAGACACTCGCTCACCCTACACTGAAAACTCTGATACCAGCACATGGGACACAACTGAGCTGACAGCTGGTGAGATCAAATTCAATCTAAGAACCCAAAAGTGACAATTCCCCACTACTCTACAGCAGTACTCTACAGTTCTTACAGAGACTTGGGTTCTTTGTTCCTTCTTTTTGCCTGTCTTCTACGCTTTACTGTTTGATTTTCCCAAGGGTTACCTGCTATTTCTCATACTTCTCATATTCTCATAGTTAGTCTTGGCTTAGACTTTCATTTTGTTAGATGCCTTCCAAATAAGGTGTTACATATTTTTTTAAAATTAAATAAATGCCATTTTCAATTTTTCAACAGCCCGATCATGTTTGAATTACTGAAAATGAGAACGTTTTCAAAGTTTCTAGCCATGATATTTATGTAGCCCTGAATGAGGAGAGCAGGCAAGCTATGGATTCAAATGTTGGCCAGAGAAGACAAACACAGAATGGATACTGCTATGTTCACCCATGCTTCTATACTTGTGCAAAGTGTCTGGAATGCTCACAGAAGTATGCAAAAAGGACAGAATTCCTCCTTTTTTTTTGTTTGTTTTTGTTCGTTTTTTTGTTTTAAGGTCTCTAGAAGCTTTGTTGGAAACTAACACATTAAAAAAATGAGAAAGCCAAATAAATCACTACAGTTCTGCTTCTCATTTATTATACATTCAAGATAATGGCTTCAGGGATGTGAAGAAAAGTCTTTTGCTTAGCAATGCACAAAACTTGCTCTGGGACAATACTTAATTATTATTTGAAATTTTAACCATGCAAAGAAAACCACAGTGATTCATAATTATGCAAAAAGATCATGATGACTTTAACTTCTCCTGTAGATAGCGTTTTTTGTGATTTCTCACAATGGAATTAACAACCTCTTTCTTGGAAAGCAGTTGTATCTGGTTGGCCTGCAAAGATTCTGAGACTTGCTTCCTGAAATGAGCAGAGAAAAAGATAAAGTACCTTTCTGCTTGGAGAAAAAAATATTATTAAGAATATAACTTTGAAACATTTCTGTGCTCATATGTGAACTACAGCTATAGCATAATTTTTCTTTGTTGTTCTCTGCACAATGGATTTTGTTTTAGTTTAAACAAAAAATACTGCAAAACCCTTCTCCCTCAAGATATAATGCAGATAAAAGTTCTTTCCTTTACTCAAAACCATAATAAGTGCTTTTTTGTTAGCATAACTAAGGAAGGATTTCCAATTTATATATCACCATTCACAAGCCTTTGGGGAGAGAAATCCTGACTTCAACCAAGTAAGCTGGAGTCTTGTTATTGTATTCACTTCAGTGGAGGCACTACTTTACATGGACTCACCTTAAAAGGAATTTGTTTCGGTGACTAATTTACCCTCAGTATGTATCTACCTATCACCACAGCTCACTGGAAGTTACGCATGTGGTAAAAGCAAGATAATTCTGGCATTTTCAAAACCACATCTTTATATATCTTTAAAAAATTTGCTGAAGGTTACAGTACAGAGCTGTCCATATTTCACTTTTCAAACAGTTCAAAATGATTAAAGAAGTTATCCTTCTAAGAAGTATTGCTGCTTGTGGCATACAAGTTGTTTTATAATTAAAAAAGCAAAAATAAAAGTCTTCTGTGTGTATCTCTGTACAAGTCCAGTCCACCTGTTACTCATGCAGTGACTGCTCAAAACTTAGCTGACATTAATAATAAATTTATTGTATTCACAGATAAAATTTATCAGTACTACTATTTAAATCATAAGTAGCACCAAAGTCTGACCCTGTAGTTCCACAATTCAACAGTTGTCAGGATTGACAGAGTAGAACAAAACAAACTGAAAATAGAGAGTTTATTTTAAAGAAGTGAAAAGGAAAAGCAGAATAAAGACATACATTATTCATTACTAGTCTCCTAAAACTGCTATGGAAATAGCATTCATAAAGATACGTAACCGAGCTGCCAAAAAAACCCCTGAAACTCTATGATACCTGCAATGATGATAAGGAATACAATTTAAACTGTCAAGAGAAGGAATTAAAATCTCATGCAAACAGATTGCAGCAAGCTGTTGCCAGCAAAATTCTAGCATCCATGATATAAAACACACAAATAACATCTAATGTGTGTGGAGATTTCACTGGAGTGGGGTTTGATCCATCTATTCTCTGCAGCTATCTCTGGAAGTTCCTCAGTTGCCTAGGATTTTCTTACTGACCTTCAAGCCCCCTCAGTTTAATTAGCTGAACATGATCAAAATAGATAATCTAAGGCAGCTAGCCTTACCTCCCCACTAAAACTCCACTCCATTTCAAGTTCCAGCCAAAAGCCATCCAAGATCTAGCTCCATCCCTGGAGAAGGCTTCAGAGCTATGAATTATCAGGACAGAGCATAGCACCATTCACAGCGCTCAGGTCCAGCCTGGACACCAGCATTTCTGAGCAAGACTATTCACAGGGGGTCAATCTATTAGCAAACATGATGAAGATGTAAATCCACACACACCTCCTATGCAAGTGTCCCAATCACAAGCTCCTGTGTTTTCCTGGATGAGAAGTATTCTCCAGCCCTTCTTTTGAAGCTGAAATGCCATGCAGAGAAGCAGCTACACAATTTTTGAGTACTAATTAAGGCCGGTTTTCAACATTCAGGACGGAAAAGACTCCTAAATTCATCATGTCCAACCATTAATCCAATCCACCACTAAACTATGTCCTAAGGACCACATCTATATGTCTTCTAAATATCTCCGGAGATAATACATAGACTTTTAAAATATTCTGGGAGCCTGTCCTGGAAGGGAATAGATGACAGAATCTACAACCCTAGTAAGACAGGCTGTAGCTTGGGTGTAATGGATTCCCAGCATTGTTATGCCAAGAAAGAAAAAAGATGAAACCCAGAGATGCCTGCGTTTCAGAGATAAATCTACCTTCCCCTCCCGTCTGCCCATGTGCAGAAGCAAGATTTCCTTCCTGAAATGAAATCACTGCAACATCAAAACAACCAAAAAGCAGTCTTGTCTCACTGTATTGCAAAGGAAATCATATCCTACAGACAGCCTACAGAAACAGCAAGGCTAATTAGCATCTTCTGTGCAACCAGAGCCATTCTGAACAGAGAGCAACACAGAAATGCAAAACAAACAGTGTTGTCAGCACTATCAGCCTCCATTCCACAATTACCTGCTTCACAACATACAGCTTTTCCATTCAGACTGTCATCTTCCCAGGCCTCCATGCTTCCCATTTCAGGGTTCCCCCAAGATTGAAAATATCCGGATTCTCTTGGACCTGAAAAGATTTCTTCCTCTTCTAGCAGTAGTGTCACTACTGCATCTTTAAAACATTAAATTGCAGATCCCAATCTGATTATTTAAGCTCGTGAAGTCACAGTTTTCAAATGTCAGGGTCTTGTCCCTCTACTTTTATTTCGGTTCCCCTTTGCAGCTTGATGAATATCTCACTTAGGGACTTTCAAATGCTATTGTGAACTATGATCCATTTATATTTTATATGGGAAATAGCACAAAAGAAATTCAGAACAGCAGAGACCAAAAAAAATATTTTTCTTCACTAAGTGTTGTGTGCTACAGAATTAGGAGACGATTACTGGTGAGGATATTTTGCAGCTATTCAATGGAGGAAGTCCACTTTCTTGTTAAAAATCTAGCCTCATTCCTAAAATGTAACACAGAACTGTAAGTTGAAGTGAGGCTTAGGCTCAGGATTAAGAAAGAGGAAATAACAATACTTGCACTTAGAGCATATACTGACTTTCATTCAAACACCTGAAAGTACTCTCCAAATATTAATTATCACAGTATCAGTCTCTCCCAAACTCTTCCAGAAGAGGATCAACCCTGCATTCCTTTGGCATCCACATTGCCTGCTTGGGTCTGTACAAAATGCAGAACAAAGCCAAAAGTATTACTGCCTTTAATTATTATGGTAACTCTTAATTAATGGGACTAACTCACTCACGCAGAGACTGAGTGCCATTTATAAGATGTCCTTTTCTTGTGGAGAAAAAATGTGATACCTTCCTGTAGGGCTAATGCTCTATGGGGGCTTGCAGTATAAAGGAGAATTGAATTAAATTAAATTAAATTATCTTAAAGGAGTGTCACAATTAGAAATTTTAAAAAAAACCAAAGAGTCTTGACTCCAAATCTTCTCTTCTGGATCACACATCAAGACATGGGTTTTCATTCCTTCTGCAGCACTACCGTTCAAGAGGACAGGGAATGGAAATAGATGAGGTGACTCATCTATTTCTAGATGAGGTGACTTGGAATGGCCCTGTCCCACAGCTATGACTCAGACTGGCTAATGTTCAAAAGGAGAGCAGTCATATTCCAAAATATCCAAGGAATCAGGCACCTTGTTTTCGTGACTATGTCTGCCATTTAATTAATCAGTACTGGACTTCCTTGTTATCAAGGTACAAAGATGAAAAAATATCATCATTTTGCGTCAAATATCCTAAAAGCTTGTGTATGGGATTGGTTCAAAACCCTTCTGGTCCTGAATCTCTTCATTCTATCCTGTATATGGAATCACGTAATCACAGAATCATTTAAGTTGGAAAAAAAATTCTAAGATCATCAAGTTCAACCATTAACCCAGCACTGCCAAGCCCACCACTAGACCATGTCCCTGAGGACAACATCTACATGTCTTTTAAATATCTGCAGGGATGATATAGAGACTTTTTAAATATCTTACTCCTACTCCTCACTGCCCACCAGCTAGACATATACCAGAGATACTGAAATAATCACACCCGAATTTACAGAAACAGGTGAAAAAACATCTATTGGTTTAAAACACAGGATAAAAAAATGTGTTTCCCTCCCTGCCTCATCCAACATGCTCTCAAGCAAGTTTTACTGGAGGAGGATGGCCTTGAGCTGAAGGCACAGGGCAGGCTGCCAGGAAATCCGAGTTCTATTCTTGGCTCTCCTACAGATTTCCTTGGGCAAGGCAATTAACCTTGTGGAGTACACTTTCAATGGAGGTGAGGCCCAGCTTCTCTTTCTGCATTCACAACATTTTCAATGCCGAAAATGGAATTGCAGGAGCAAAAATGAGTGCCTGTGCTTTTCTTAACCTGATGCATTTTTTTTGTCATGTATTTGGATGCACAATTGCTGATAACTGTGCTAGTAAAAAACCCTAAGAATTCAAACACTGTAGGCGTAAAAATGCCTCCGGATGTTGCTGCAAACAGCCCCAATGCTCAGTTTCCTCGTGTGTAAAACGGGCAGTGAGGCTAATAAAACCAAAGTACACAGCCAAACGGAAAACTGATTTTTAAAGTTCTTGAACACCTGTTATCTGAGATCATAAAAAAGAAATAGCTAAGAATTTCAATTTGCCTTTCATTAGAAATGCTCTAATTTTACTTGGTGCATTTTTTTACCTGATAAAATTTCCTCTTTGGACCTCAAACAGAATAAAAAATTTTCCTTTAAGGAGTCTGAAATGTCAGATGAAGTCAAAATATTTTTTTTTTTTTTTTAGCTAAGATGATATCTTTTAATATACCTTAACAAAAATGGAAGTGAATTAAAAAACAAGTGAAATATCCTTTTGCTAATATAAATGCAGTTTAGAAAA